TGCACTGTCACTAAAGCTAAGGGGAAATATTTATCTCAAGTTCAAACAGTACAACAATGCCTTGAATGATATTAACAAATCATTGGGAATTGACCCGAACAATGCGTGGGCGTTGAGAGTAGGAGGAGAAGTCAATTTTATGCTTAAACAGTACAACAATGCATTAAATAACGTCAACAAATCATTGGAAATTGAACCTAATAATCCATGGGCCTTAAGAGTGAGGGGAGGAGTTTATCTCAAGTTTAAACAACTCGATAATGCCTTGAATGATCTCAACAAGTCCTTGAAAATGGAACCAGATAATCCATGGGCATTCAGAGTAAGAGGTGATATTTACCTCAATCGTCAACAATTTGACAATGCCTTGATTGATGTCAATAAATCACTTGAGATTGAACCAAATAATGGACAGGCATTGGGAATACGAGCGAACATTTATCTCAAGTTAGAGCAACTTGACAAAGCATTAAATGATTCAATCGAATCACTTAAAGTCGAACCCAATAATGCACAATCTTTACAAGTGAGAGGATCCGTCAATCTCTTTCACCAGCAATATAACGACGCATTAGATGATACCAACTTGTCATTGAAGATCGAACCAGACAATGCGTGGACATTGAGAGTACGAGCGAATGTCTACCTCAGGCTTAAGCAGTATCACAGTGCGTTGACTGATGCTACTAAATCATTGGACATTGAACCAGGAAACGCTTGGACGTTGAGAGTAAGAGGAGAAGCTCACTGTATGCTCAAATTGTATAAAGATGCATTAAAAGACATTGAAAAATCGTTAGAGATTGAACCTAAACATCCATGGGCATTAAGAGTAAAGGGAGGAATCCACCTCAAGAGCAAACAGTACGATAATGCTTTGAGAGATGCAAATGAATCGCTCAAAATAAAGCCAAATAATTTATGGGCATTGAGGGTAAGAGGAGATACTTATCTTAGTCTCAAACAGTATGATGATGCATTGACGGATATTAACAATGCACTCAAGATTGAACCAAATGATGATCAAGCTTTCGCAATAAGAGCAAACATCTTTTTCGAATTAAAACAATACAACAAAGCATTAAGGGATTCAAACAAGTCGCTCACAATTGAACCAAAGAATACAGAGGCATTAAAAGTAAGAGGGAGTACTTGCATCTGTCTTCAACGATTTAACGACGCATTAAATGATGCTAACAAGTCACTGAAGATTGAACCAAAGGATGCATGGGCATTGAGAGTTAGAGGAAACAGTTTGCTCAGGCTTAAGCATTATGACGATGCATTGGAGGATGTTAAAAATTCATTAGAATTTGAACCGAATAATGTATGGGCACTCACAGTAAAGGGAGAAACTTTTTATAAATTAGGGCAGTATACAAATGCATTGAAAGATATCAATCAATCACTGACCATTGAACCTGATGATGCATGGACGTTAAGAGTAAAAGGGAATATCTATCTCAAGCTTAAGCTAAATATTGCCGCGTTAGATAGCGTCAGTAAATCGTTGGAAATTGAACAAGATAACCCAAAGGCGTTGAGGATAAGGAGCTGTGTTTACTTTAACCTTGAAAAGTATGACGATGCATTAAAGGATCTTAACAAACTAAACCCGGATAATGCATGGGTATTGAGCAGAAGAGGACGCGTCTATAACAAACTCGAACAACATCACAATGCATTAAATGATCTTAATAGGGCGTTAAATATGAGGCCGAATAGTGTATACAACTTGACAGCCAGAGGAGAAGTCTATAATGGCCTCAATGAGTTTGACAGTGCATTGAATGATATTAACAGATCACTCAATATTGAACCAAATAATGCTTGGACATTAAGGGTCAAAGGAGATATCTATTTTAGACAAAAAGAGTATAATCAAGCATTAATGAACGTCAATGAATCATTGGGAATCGAACCGAACGATGCATCGTCCTTACGAACGCGAGGTAATGTTTATCTCAAAATGAAGAAGTATAGAGATGCATTAGCAGATGCAACTAAGTCCTTGGAGATTGAACATAAAAATGCATTGGCATTGACAATAAGAGGAAAAGCCCTTCTCCGACTTGGACAATATAATACTGCATTAGAAGATATTAACCAATCATTAGAAATTAAACCGCAAAACGCGTTTGCACTGAGGATAAGAAGCGGTGTCTATCTCAAACTCAAACAATATCAAAACGCGTTAAATGATGCCAATAAGTCACTGAACCTCGATAAAAACAATAAAGTAGTATTAAAAGTGAGGGCAAATATTTATTTCATGCTCAAGCAGTATGACAATGCATTTGCCGATGCTGTGAATTCACTAAATGCTAAAGAAAACGATGCATTGTCGTGGAGAATAAAAGCAAATGTTTATTTGGTGAGGGATCTATATGACTTGGCATTGGACGATATCAATAAATCACTGGTTCTCGAGCCGGGCAATGGATGGTCGTTGCGAATAAGAGGGAATGTTTATCTTATGCTCAAATTATATGACGATGCATTGAATGATATCAATGACTCATTGGCAGTTGAACCAGAAGATGCGTGGGCCTTGAGGATAAAAGGACATATTCACCTCAGGCTTGGGCATCGTGACGAGGCAATTATTAACGTCAATAAATCATTGAGAATGGAACCGGACAATAGCCAAGCGTTGAACGTAAGAGCAGAAGTTTACCTCATGCGAAAGGAGTATTCTGTCGCATTAGATGATACCAATAAATCACTAAATATCAATCTAAATGCATGGGCATTGAGAATAAGAGGAAATATCCACTTTATGCGTAAACAGTATAAAAAAGCATTGGACGATATCAGTAAATCTTTGAAGATTGAAAAAGATGACATCTGGGCGCTACGAGTGAGGGGAGCAGTCCATCTCATGCTCAAACAGTACAATGATGCACTGAGTGATACCAATAGACTATTAGAACTTATACCGAATGATGCATGGTCGTTGAGAGTGAGAGGAAATGCTTATCTCTTACAGAAAGATTATGAAAAAGCATTAATCGATGTGGATCAATCGCTGAAGAGTGAACCTAATGATGCGTGGTCATTGAGAATAAGAGGAAACGTTTATCTCATGCTTAAAAAATACGACGATGCACTGAAAGACACTAATCAATCACTAGAAATTGAACCGAATAATGTATGGACTTTGAGAGTCAAAGGACAAATCTATTTCAAGCTTAATAAATATAAAGATGCATTAGATAACATTGAACGATCATTGAAAATCGAACCAGATAATATACAAACGCTGAAGGTGCGAGCAGAAGTCTACCTCATGCGAAAGCAGTATAATGATGCATTAAATGATGCTAATTACTCGTTGAATATAGAGCCAAACGATGCATGGGCATTGACGATAAGAGGAAATGTATATCTTGGGCTTAAAAAATATGACCAGGCGATGGACGATGTCAGCAAAGCACTGGAGATTGAAGCAGATAATGCATGGACATTTAGAGTAAGAAGTGAACTCAATCTCAAATGCAAAAAATATGAGAAGGCGTTAAAGGATGTTAAAAAATCATTGAGAATCGAACCAGGCGATGCATGGGCATTAAGACTAAGAGGAGGAGTCTATCTCAAGAATAGACAATACAATGAAGCAATCAATGATCTCAGCAGATCATTGGAGAAGGAGCCAGATAGTGCATGGGCACTACGCGTAAGAGGAAAAGTCTATTATGAGCTTGCACAATATGCAGACGCATTAAATGACATCAACAGGTCGCTCACAATCGAACCGAACTCGACACCAACGTTGATAATAAAAGCAGATATCTTCTTTGCGCTTAAACAGCATGGCGATATGTTGAAGGAAATTAACAAATTGTTGAGTATCCAGACTGAATCAAGTAAGAAAGCGCGATTATTTAGAGTAAGAGGATACATTCATCTTAACCTTAAACAGTACAAAAATGCATTGAATGATGCCAACATGTCATTGGGATTTGAATCAAAAAATGCTTGGGGACTGAGATTGAAAGGGGAAATCTTTCTAATGCAGAAACAGTACGAGAATGCATTAATTGACGCCAACGAATCATTAAGAGTCAAGCCGAATAACACATCAGGGTTGATTTTAAAAGTGAAAGTTTTGCTCAAGCTCAATCAGTACATGAATGCATTAAGCGATGCCAATAAAGCACTGGGCATAGAGCCAAACAGCGTTTGGGCATTAAGGTTGAGAGCAAAAGCTTATATAAAACTTAAGCAATCTAAAAATGCTTTGGTTGATCTCAACAAACTACTAGAGATTGACCCTGGTAATGAATGGGGGTTAAGAGAAAAGAGAAATATAGAAGAGAATAGAAATATATTGACGCGAAGTAGGATTTTCGGGAGTTTGCGCAGAAATAATAGATGATGTGATAAAGTTGTCCTTTTTTTTTTGATATTATATATTATAATATTTACAAATTTACGGCCTGAAGGCTTGCATTATTTATCCATATCCAGACTAGCTAGTCATGTTTAACGAGGCTCAGTATAGTATTAAATAAGGTATATATTAATATTATAAGCTTCTCTATTACTGTTACTATCATATACTGTATATCAACATTATAAGCTTCTGCTATTACTGTTATTATCCTGTACTTATGATACAATAAATATCTTTTAACCAATTTGCTGAGAAAATAACACAATCGATGCGAGAACACTGAGAAACCTACTTATAAGCTAATCAACCAGCCAGGCTAACAATACATCGGTTTCAATAAAATTAAGTTTCTAGCAAGCGTTGATAGATAAATTACGCTTTAGTTCCAAAAAATTTAACCAATAATACAGAACAGATAATAAAAACAATATTAGTATTGGTAAATATTTAGGTTATATAATCTATTTAATTTTTTATAACACAAGAACCTAATTACATGTACAAATTGCTAGCTAGAAAGTGAATAATATACGAATGACCAGAAGGCGGTGTACACTATCAGATCGCATTAAATTATAAGTTTACATCGCACCTGATTGCGCTCTCAACGTCCGTCCCCAACCACCGTCATATCTCCATTCAAATTCTCATCTTCCACAACATCCTCTACATTATCTTTCTTATCTTTTCTCTGTCTCAACACACCCCTCGACCATCTACGCTGATTTTTCTTCAACGGACCCCACCTCCATCTAATATATTTTGCTCTCGTCATCGTCGCGCTATCGCCGATAATGTCTTGATCACAATCGAAGAATATAGGTTCGTTCCTGTGCAGGCGGCCATACGTTTCGATGATAACGAGGAAAAGAGATAACACTGAGACCGTTATTACTAGATCGAGTGAGTTGAGATTGCAAAGTGGAAGGAGTATATAGATGGTGCCGATTATTAGTCGCAAAGATATACGGTAAGCCTAGATAAAAAGCGGAGTAACGTTAGTAGAGCTGCGAGAAGTATGTGTCTAGCAAAAAAGTCGTACCGAAATAGCTTATGAGACTATTTAAAGCACACGACAGCAGCGTTGATTAAACTCATATTGCTTTGTAACACTTGTCGTTTCTATGTGCCATCTCACATAACATATCTCAAGACATTAACCTTAGGTATCCTCAAAGAATCAACAGTATCTAATCCTTTATGAAGCATTCCAATAGCAGCCATGCAATACAATATAATACCCGATGACACACAAAACAGCCATATCAATTCCTTGGGCATAGCAGAAGCCCCTCCGACATCAGAAGTAGCATATGCAAGCGCTGAGTCGGTATTTAGATGAGATGACAAATCAGAGGATGAATCAGTCAATTCCCCATCGGGAATGCTATGTGCTCCCGGAAAATCCCTTGCTTGGACTATTGCTGAGAGCGCGACCCTATTATATGACGGGAATATATAGCAATAAATAACGACAACCATATTAGTAAATAATATGACAGTCATTTCGGCAAATAAAAGTTGAGCCTACCCTGCAGCAATCAAAGCCATATTCTAGTAAAAGAGAATATTACATTAACCGACAGCTCTTGCATGTATAACAGGAACACAAACTACTAACCAATGGTAAATGGATTAACCCGAAGCAGAGTCCGGTAATGACATGTCTTCTAAGTGCATGTTGATATTGTCTGCTCGCATCGACATCAAAGTATATCCAGTGCAAGTTGTAAGCAAATAGTAAACCAAGAACGGCTTTTCCAAATATCCCATCTGGGATTGTATTAAAACTTGTGTACAGAATGCTTATAACCTGGTGCGGTAAAGTATTACTGTTAGAATCGAGGTCGCTGATCGATATAGCATTAATAACATATGCAATGACACGTATACGACTTTGGGTACAGTAATCATCAATCGCAAACTTACCATTTCTCCCAAGCATATGACTGCGAATGAACCCACCCTCTCACTCCAATGCTCAATATTTAAAGCTGGCCTATACTTGGCTATTTCAAATAGCGAAAACCAATCGGTCCATTTCCATTGATATTCTGTCCCTTTTGTCCTCATTGACAAATGTGGAGTTAATGCGATACCCTGCAATTTCTCTTCTCTTCCTTCGTCCGTGATTGTATCATCCTTCTCGCTTTCAGTGACTGTACCATCCTTCTCGCTTTCAGTGATTGTAACAACTCGCTCGAAATCCGCTGTATGTGTATGGTTCGCTGGATGCTTGGTTCCATAACGGTTATAAATCGGTATGAAACCATTCCAAAAAACTTCAAATGCAATGGCTGCCCAGACCAGGCTTGATGTGACCTTATTAGGTACGACAGCGGCAATCACCCAGAAAATGCACGGAATAACAATACCCCAGACGTTGGCGATAAAGCTAACGCGAAACATCGGAATAAATCGAGCAAAGTTAAGGTACAGCGTGGCAAAGGTTAGGCGGCCGATTATATAAGAGACTGGCAAAAAGTAGAAGTGGAGCGTGTGAATATTGATAAAGTTGCACGCAAAGATTAAGAAGCTTTCTTACCAACTCACTTATGTAGAATTGTCCAACGTTCCCGTCGACTTTCTCAGAGTGTGTTGCCATGCCGACTGCAATTGCGCCTTCCCAGAGAAGAACAAATTTTTGAACCAGATCATCAGATGAGTATACGTTTAAATAAGTATGTACATCTGTCCACAGTCTCCAGAGTGGGTAACTAGGCGGGCAAGAAGAGAATGAGCGTTAAAAGCAATTAGCTAAATATTGATGAATACCATGTAATAATAAGTAATCAGTCTTACAATGTAAGGAAGTAATGTTTCAACGACGCGCTGTTAACATCACTGACCAATGTATGCCCAATAATCCTGACCACACCGACAAATATCAAATCCCAAAACAATTCAGTATAACTCATGGATCTCTCTTCTGCCTCTCTATGTAACGCACCATCATGCCAATACTGCCTTACTCTTGGCTTTCTAATCAAACGCAAATAGTCTCTATCTTCATCATCGGCAATTATTTCCAATTTTTGAAGTCTACCAAAGGTGTGTACAGTAGCATGGATAGTCTGCTCAGAGTCTGCATCAGCGTGGCCGAGTTGCTTGAGTTCGGCAACCAGTCTGTCAAGCTCACCGGTTACGGACTCTGAGCGGCTTACGGCTTCTGCGCGTTCTCTTTCTAGGCGGGCGGAATACTCTTTTAATTCATCTACTTTTACTTTTAATGCTGCAACCTGCAGACAATTTAGTTTTACATGTAAGCTTGAAATGTTTGCTGTACTTACATGATAAATGCACCATATACTATTTACTCGAATGGGTTTACCTACATGTTCTGGGCTTCCCTGCACACAGTAGTTATGGACTCCTCCGCTAACGATCTCGGTTTCATGCTTAACTACGACCACCTTTTGTCCTCCTATATCCAATTTCCTGCAGTATTCGTCGGTATTTAGCTTTGCAGTCTTGTCGTCATCTCCAACGACAACAATCTCAGTTATCTGTTTTGTTATATCAGGAGCCGATTCAGTCATACTATCACGTCAAGGAAATCCACGATTTACATGTAATCATGTAATAGTAATAGTTACGTAAATCGTGTAACCAAAACCAGTGTTGTGTACGAAAAACTATGGTCGTGCTTCTTTATCTTTCTGCCTGCTACCATACTGTTAGAAACAGTCTCTCCATTACATCCATTTTTATGTATGCGATATTTCTATATTTTGTTTATTGTTACTGAATTCTCACCTGTGATTTTCGTCACCAGTATAGAACATTTTTTCAACATGCCGCCGAAGGAAAACAAAAATAAGCCCATAGCTCCAAAGGTATTCTTCTGGACATCCAATTGCAGCAGCTGCTACTTGGCATTGTAGAAACTCCAGAACCACCTCACAATGCATAATTCTTTGCATAAATTTGTTTCTCATCTACTAACAAATTTTTTTATTTCCACACAGAAGGATGAAGGCCAAGGAAAAGAGGCTGAACCAATTGATACTGAAATGGAAGATGTCAAAGTAAGTTTTCCTTTCAATATTGATTATGTTGCAAACAAAGTACTAACATCCATTTCAAATACATCCATCCATCCTCTTTATAGGTGTCCAGAAGCTCTGTCAGTGCTATGCAATTGCCTTCCATCACTGACATCAAAGGATGGAGCATGGAAATGATGGCTCAGTACATCTGGATTAAACTCATGAGCCCTGATGAAACGCCTTTGACTGAAGTTTCTTTGGAGGGTGTTCGCCATGTGGATGGCCTCAAGAAGGCAATCAAAAAGGAGATGCCAAATGTGCTTAAAGATTATGACAGTAGCCAGCTTATTCTCAAGGCCAAGAAGAGCACTGATAATGATGACCAAGCAGTTGAGCTTGGAAACCCAAGAGAATTAATGGCCTCAGTCCATCAGCGCTTTGGTAGTGATTGTGAAGTACTTGTCTCTGTCCCAGCTGGTAAGAAATGCATCCAATGCATCCATCCTTTGTCTGTTGTTACATACATTCACCAATGAACCATCCCCTCTCTTCACTGCCATGGTCTCTTGCTCTCATTTCCACTGCTCACTCTTTTTTTAATTCCAGTTTCTCCAAGAAAAATAATCCTGGCAAATGATAAGATTGAGGAAACACTAACAAAAATTATCAACGGTGTAAACCACCAGCCACATACAATAAAAATGGAGGAAGTTGAAGAATTTCAAAGGGGAAAGCTGGGGTGCTTTTACAAAAAACTTCTACCACCTGGCTCAACTGCAACTAGGCTGTATCTGCCAATGCTGGGACAAGTGCTACCTGATATGCAGCCAACAACAGGTGGGAAAAAGAGAACATTCTCTGAAATCATTCAGAGTGACATTACTGAGACAAGCAGTCATCACATAGTGGCAATGGTTGCTCGGTCAGGCTCAGGGAAGACTGCAACAGTGATTCAACTGGCAAAGAAGCACTTTGTTATCTATGTTGTTTGTGAGGCTGTAAACACCTACAGTCCTGACTTCAGTGACAGAAACTTTCGCATCCTTGCACGGGACATTGAAAATATGTGTTCCAGACTTCCAAAACCAGTTCAAGTTGACAATAATAGACAGAAATACATGGATGACCTAAGAAGTTATGACAATCAGCTAAAGAACCTTGCAAGTGAATGTGTCCAGTTGGAATTCTTGGCATGCCAGCTGTTCCTGGAGCTGCTTTTCAGAAAAAATTCTCAAGTCACACCAGAGGTGTTCTTTCATGAGCAACTCAATGGTGGATCTGCAACAATCGGAAATCTGGTAGAGGAGCTACGCATGTATGACCCACAGACAATCCGTAATATGCTTAAACATGTGGAGCGCCATCTGCAAACATTCCTTACTGGCCGAGGCCTTGTAATTGCATTGGATGAGGCACACATAGCAGAGACTGATTGTTTACATGACAGATTGATCTCACCAAGTGCAATAACTAACAATGAAAACTTCCTTGACCACAATGGCACAATACGTCTGGATCTTCGCTGTGGGTTTCTCACCCCTCTATGTTCAGCATTGGGTGACATGCATGCAACACTAGTGGTGCTTGGAACAAGGTTGACACTTATGGATGCTAGTCATGTATATTCAGCAATTGCTAAGCCAAATGTCCGGTTTGAGAAGATTACATCCTTCCCTTCATGTGATGAATCTCATGTGGAGGAGTTGCTGGGCCAAATAATTGATATATCAGATTGTGAAATCCAACCTGAAAAGAAGCGACAGCTCAGTGGACGGTTCCGATTTACAACTAGTGTTGCCACCCAGATCTGCAACAGAGAATGCTCTAATACAAGTAAGCAAAAAAAGCTTGACAAAGCAATTGACAAAGCAATAGGCAAAGCAAAGGAGGATATAAGAACCAGTGTACAAAGACTGCTACAGCCTAACAATGCAGCTGTAATCAGGCATCTACTCAGCCGCATGGTTATAGCATACAAGCTGAAGGGTGGCAAGATAGCTTTTACACAACAGGATGAATTTGACTTTGTGAACAGTGGTGTGTGTGCTCTGCGAGAGGACTCTGATGGTTATCACTGGGCTGTAGAAGAGCCACTAGTGATTGAGGTGCTTGAGGAGGAGCTAAGAGCTTCAGAATTTGACCCAGAAGTCCTTGCATATCTTGACCAATTCAACACAATGCTTACCAATCTGGGGACAAACTCAGTAGCAAAGGGGGAGGCATTTGAACTGCTGGTGTATCGATCCTTGCAGCGCTTTAATGGCAAAGTTCTTGTGGATCTACCTTTCATCAAGGATATCAAGAATCTTCCAGAATGGTGCAAAACTACAACATTGAATGTGAGAAAATTTGGTACAGCAAAAGAACTTGGATATGACAACAACAGTACATGGGGTGATGTTGAGTTCTTCGAGAAAACTCCTGGGGGGGAGTTACTGATCCCGAACAACCTCACACGACCAGATGGGGCATTGCTATTGGAAGGTAAAGAACATGGTCTATCCCTTGCAATTAAGCTCTATTCACAACCTGTGAATAGTGGTAAGCATGAATTGAATGAGGGTTCCAGTAACCTACGAAACTGCTTCATGACATCTGAAAACAAAGTAAACTCACAC